GCAGAGAAGGGAGACAGGCGTTTGTCGCGGTTTGGAAAGAAAGGGAGAAAACATGACAGAAAAACTTGGCGGATATCGCATTTTGCGTAAAATTTAAAATTGACTTTTCAATACCGACCAGATACAATACTGATTTTGGCGGAAACCCAATAAAAAAAAAAAAAAAGGCGTTTATCGTGTTTTTGAACCAAACTCTTCATTTTTTTTCAGGATACTTTGATTAATTGAAAGTTCAAAGGAACAGCATTTATTTGAAATGGAAATCTTTTGTAACATTATAAATATCTTTACTGACACTTTATTTCAATTGAATGCATCCTTGTTTCAATAAAAGTTAATCTTTCTCACCACAAACCTTTAAATGGTAGTGTATCACACTTTTCACAAAACTATTCGGCAGCACAACTGTTTCCAACACTGATAATAAATCAGCATATTAGAATGATTTCTGAAGGATCATGTGACACTGAAGACTGGAGTAATGATGCTGAAAATACAGCTTTGATCACAGAAATAAATTACATTTTACAATATATTTCAATAGAAAAGAGATCTTTTAAATTGATAAAATGGTGTTTCACAATATTAGTTTATATTGTATTTTTCAAGAAATATATTTAGCCTTTGTGTGCACAAAATGCTTCTTTTAATACCATTTTAAAATAGTATATTCCAAATTGAGATCGATCCTAACTGAAATGGCATTGGATACAAAACGGATAAGATATGATTCTGCATTAGGGTGTTTTGTAAAACAGCCTCTTCTTCTGAGTCATAACAGTCTAGTGTTTTGGCTGTGAGTTTTGCACAGACAAGCAGCACTTTGTGTAAAAAAAAAAATCTGGCTTGTAATTGAGATTGATTTACAGTCTCCCAGCCTTTCTCACACTCAGTGAAGTTCAGAAACATTTTGGTATGAGATGGTTTGATATGAGATGGGTGCTTTCATCTTGCGTAAAGTAAAACAAGTTTGTGTTCCATTATTCTTTGGTTTGTTTGCCTCTGTTGTATTGGTTGACAAGGTGATTTGACAAGCTTGACAAGATTTATTTCTGTAAACCATATCGTTTTTTGGCTGGTAATGATGTTTTTCTGTATCACTGATGTTGGATGTTTAATTTTGCTCATATCTAGGGTTGCAAAGGGGTGGAAAACTTCCGGAAACTTTCCAAAAATTCCTGGAATATTCCCAAAAAAAAATCAAGGAAAGTTTCCAAAATTTCTGGAATGTTTCCGAAATTTACTGGAAACTGGACCACCTTTTTGCAACCCTACTCATATCCTCAGTTTTTACAAGTAGATTTATCTTTGCAGTCATTTAATGCTCACTCCTTGTCACGCAGTTTTCCTTGATGTGTTAATGTAATTCTGATTGAAACACGAAGTCAGGGTGGGACATCGAAGAGCTTGTCCCTTTTTGAAAAATATCAGCGTTTCATTTACATTTACAGCCTGGCAAAGCTGCATTCGATAGCTTGTGACAGCCACAGTCCTGATCAAAATGAGTCTAATAGATTCTCTCTTTAGATTTGAAATAAAACTCTTACTACATCTAAACAGTGCTCATTTTTAGTAATGGTTATGATGTGTAGTTTGATAAGCGAGTTGTTTGGGCATCAGTGTTAGCTCTTCTTGTCAGTGCTGTTTATAATGCAGAGGCTGTTTAACTGGTGGAGATGTTTGATCTCCTCCAATGCAATTTAAAACAGAATATTCTGCGTAGAATTCAAATGGATCAGATACATTGGGTGGTTATGATTAGCTTCGTGCCCTCTCGTCTCTGCAGCAGGTTGCGTGACCGACTTGGAAAGCATAATTACACTGGCTGGTTCCTTCACCATGGAATAGGGCTGCACAATTAATCGAATTTCTAATCGCGATTACAATTATGGATGCCACAGTTATGTAATCGTTCAAAGCGGCAATTAATCGTTCAAAGTCCACTTATGTTATTCTGCACGCTTAAGATGTTTTTTTTCTTTCTACATGTCATCTTAAAGGTTTTTCCATTGTTTTAGTTTTAGTATAACATTATAATACCATTCATATTTTTACTTTTTTATAATTTAAAGAAGAAACCAATCCGATGTATATTTGACATTTAAGGCTTAATACTATAGAAAAGCACTAAAGGTTTTTCAGTTAGTGTTTTCAGCTTGTTTATTTTCATATAAAAATACGGCATGCAGTTGCATCAAACAATGGTATAAACATCATTCAATGTAAATTGTGATAAATGCAATTAATAATCGCAATTACAATTTCAAAGGAATAATCGACAAATGTGGTTTTTGTCATAATCGTGCAGCCCTACTATGGAAGTAACTTTGTCAACTAACTCTCATTAGAGTATTAGTAGACTGTTAGGTTATGGTTAGTGTTAGTAGAATACGTTGACAAGTACTTACAAAATTACTTCTAGCTAGTAGAATGTCTGAAGTGGACTATAAAGATAAACTGTTACCAAATAGTAAATGTGTAAAGAAAGGGGCGGGACCTTCAAATTCTATGCAGTTGTTTTGATAGAGGGAAACAAGATCAAATTTTTCAGATATTCCCCTTTAAATATAATAACCATCAGTTGTATGCAATGACCAACATTTTTTTTTTTTTTTAACAATCTGAATATGGAGCTGCATTGAGATCCCTGTATCTCTGTGACTGAATGAAATATGGCCTTGAAAATGACAATTTCAAAAGAAACGTTTATTAGCAACCAGAGTCTAATTCTTCTTGAGTTACATGCACGCAATATTTATGGCACTCGGACAGGTATGTCCCATGCAATTGTTTTGATTGAAGAAAACAAGATACATTTCTGATTTCCACATTATCCACAGAAATAAGGATCATCTGTGTGCAAAGTGACCAACATTTGGTTTTTGACCACTGAAAATGAGTACAATTTAACAATTTACTCCTGGAGCCATATTGAAATTCCAATATCTCTGGAACTGAACAATATAGGGCCTTAAAAATGAAGATGCCAAAAGACACGTTTGTTAAGACGCAACATCTAAAAGGGCATTAAGATATCTTTAATACTACTTGAGTTACAGGCATCCAAACTTCGGAGAAAAAAAACTTGAAAAGTGCTTTTTCCCATTTTTGAACTGTCACCATTGGCACATAATGCAACAAAGATTGCTAAAGTCAACAGATTTTCCTAACAGACCTACCAATCTCTCTGTAGAAATAACTTTGTGATGCTGCCATCTTTCTGAAGTCATTTTTACCCCCTTGTAATTTGGCTTCGAATTGCCATTTTGACCCCCCTCTTCAAAATAGTGGATTGCTCAGTAAATATACATCCATGACATTTAATATTTTGGCTTTCATCACTATACATGTTTATCTTTCTTTAGAAAATATTGACAAAATCAAAAATTTGAGCCGGGGACCTCTGGTTGAGTTCACACAGAATGACCCATGCGATTTCAGAATGAGATATTTCATCTCTGTAGCGTATTTTTGAATCGGATTGAGAAAATAGCCAGATTTAAACATTTGCATGCTTATTTTTTCCTTTTGATTGGATTATTTCAGGTATACGCCTCCTCCAATCGGAACGATTGTGGTCTTTTCAGTCCAATTGAACCATCAATCCCTTTACTAACACATCAATCCGATCACAGACATGGAGTGTTTTGAGCTTTTACATCTTGATGTTCATGTGATATGTTTTCTATTTTGGTGATCCCAATTCACACTGCTGATTATTTTGTCTTTAATGTGCTTTCAGATGGAGCATGAATGGTGAAGGGTGGAGAGCAGCAGATTGCTGATGTCTGCGTGGCCTGCATACTGTCTAGATCCTCTTTACAATCTAAACTATTGTCTGGCATCTGGAGACGCTCTTGAATAACCAAAATGGCTACTTCACTGTGGAAATGTCCCCTGGTGCATGGACTTGTGTTAACTGTGATTTTCATACAATCTTCAGAAGGTAAGACCATCTCTATAGACGCTATAGCCTGCTGGAATCATAAAGTGACATTTTTAGAGATGTCATACAAATACAGAGTTCTGGCATGAAACTCTAGATGGCGCAGTCCGATAGGTCTAACTCAATCTGACCTAATGACATCATTATCACATGGCACAGCTGATTGGTTCTCTCCTGTATCGGTAGCCAATGAGCTCGCTGCTCAACATTCAAATATTTGACTAGTGCTCGCCGTAGCAGTTGCAGCTTGCTTCAGAAACCCTCCACCTTCCCCAGCTCCACCTGTATAGATCTGATTCATGTATGCTATATGGGGGTTATTTCATGTATGTTATATTTGCAGCAGCAATATTTTCTTACAAAACGCCAGAAATCTGAACTCTCATGGATCCTTTCATTATAACAACGAGGTTTGAACATGATGTAAATTATTCATTTTGCAGTGTAGGTCAAGTCATATTTAATGTCAAGTCATAAAAGACAGAAAATTAATGTAACAAAAATGTGTTTTCCATGAGGGGTAAGAACAGTTATTATTACCTCAGTAGCTAGCTTTAATTTGAAAAAAAAAAAAAGTTTTTAGTGTGATGAAAAGAAATAGTCAAGTACTTTTGTAAAGAAAGGTGTGTTTTTGCTCTACAGAATTGAATAAAAACAATCAAAATCACTCAAATCACATCAAAACATTCGCATACTCTGAGTAGGTGCTTCTTTTGAATAAGTCATTGCTTCACAACTGTTATGTAGCATGAATGTAATCCGGCTGAACTACATTCCTCATGTTGTTATTGTCATGTGATCTGCCGGTCAGTTGCGTCACTTTGCTGTCATTCATAAATCCTCTCCCATGGCCTCACAGGATAGTAAAGTGTCATTTGGATGCGCTCTTCAGTATCATCTGGGAATTAGTAGGTCAGCCTACTGTTTTATGAATACTGTGAATTTGGACATATACAGCCCTACTTTATAGTAGGGAATTATGCATATTGAGATGCAGCCAACATTTTATTTTATATTATATTATATTATATTATATTATATTAATTATATTATATTTATATTATATTATATTATATTATATTATATTATATTATATTATATTATATTATATTATATTTTATGAATAAACCTGGCAAAGCCAAAAGATGAAAACTGCAGAATGCAATCTGTGAAGATGTTAGACCTGCAGTTGCGATAATTCACTGGATTTGCTGATTTGACAAACTCTGGGAGTTGCAAACTCATGTGTTGCATATATTGTGCACATTGTCCAATGGAGTGACATTTCTCATAGTCCCATTGTCTGGATGAGTCTGAGTTGGTGTGAAACTGTATCATGCTGCACTTGTCTTTTGTTTTGTTTTAGCGCTTGCTAGCTCATATCTGAATCATGTATATATGACACAGCTATAATGAATTATCACTGCATTTCCATGGGAAAGATGTCTTCAAGCACACCAGAGATATGATTTATCCATCTTATACACGGCTTTGCCTCACTCTCATTCATCTTTGAAACAAGCCGTATCTCCAGCCACTAAAGCTGGCCCGAAGGAATGTTTCTCAAAACAACATGGGTTTTTTGCTTATATGATCTGGATTGGATTTTAATGTATGTTCTAGTATATTCATTTACGTTGATTATCCAGAAATGCCTTGCATGTCGCAGGTCTTTTAGTGAACTGACTACTAGTACTAACTACTATTACTACTTTTGGCAATTGGAGGTTTTTTTTCCTTCCAAGATGAGTTTAGAAGAATTTTTCTTTCCCTACAATGTGCCGCTTTGATCAGCTGACACTTAGTCAATTTTTATGTTTTGATTTTGGTTTATCTTTTATAACTTTGGGAATTGGGAGGTTTGGATCTGCACTCAGCTCTTTGTACATCAATGTTTGTTTTCATCTGGCATTCATCTTCTAGCAGCGAGACGCATATTTCTGTGAGTTTCTTCTGGAAATATGAGACGCTTGAAAAAAACAGCAATTTTTTATTTATTTTTAACAAACTTTTCAACACCATTAACCTCAGCTGAGTTTGGGTTTGATTTATCTGTTGAGTAGTCCAGTAGACAGAATGGTGCAATTAAGACCACAGCATTTTACTACAGTAAAGAGTAATCTCACAGGGTCATGAGAAATCATATTTTCCCTGGTTGTTTGATATGTAAGAGGTCTCTGTACCATTAAAACACCCTCCTCAGTACAAAAAAAATGCATTTATATAACCAAGCTCCAAAAACATCTTGGTTTTATATCATAAACATATAAACATATAAAATATATATGTTTACCGATCAAAGATTCATTACATCCATAATTTATAAATAAATTCTTAACTAAATTTTACTTTGCTATTTTCCCAACTGTGAAGAGTGACAGACCTGTGTCTTAAAATGTGCAAATTAATCAAAAGATTTGTACCTCTTTCCCTGTCACTTTCTTGCAATGCACATACAAAAGAGAGTCCCTAACAGAGTTAATTCTGTTCTAGAATGCGTTTTATCACTCACATGAATTACTGAATTTATCAGCACATCAGTGTGTACATGGCTATATATTTACTTTTTACACTAGTGTCTTTATTATCTTTGGCAACAAAAAAAGTGTACATTGAGGGTCTCAACTAGTGTTGCAAAGGGGTGGAAAATTTTTGTTAGATTTCCACAACATTTTCTAAAGGTTTCCAAAAAATTCTGGAAAGCTTCCGAAATTTCCAGGATGCAAAGCTTCTGCCCCTTAGTTTGCAACCCTAGTCTTAAAGCATTTGCAAAGTTTTGTTCCCAAACTAAAAACTACGTCGTTCTTAGAAATCTCTTCTGGGTTAAACTGGGCCTGAATGTGTTATGAGAGTTAATTATGTGCCCTATTATATTCTACCCGGTCTCATGGCAAATACGTACCTGGGGGCACATTTTTGCAAGACGCAAAATACGTACCAATAAGTACATATCACTGCAGTTTCCAAAAGAAATGAACACTAGAGGCAGTAAAACTCCGACACCTTTTAAATTATTTTCACACAGAGTGTGATTTACAGAGTTTCGATTAATAAAGCGTAATTTTCGCACAATTACTTGAACAGTATTATGTTGTGACAACTCGTGTTTTAGCGCCACTCAGTGGACATTTCTCTTTGAAACTGCGGCGAAACGTGCAGTAAGGTACGTAAAAACGGTGTTGCAGAAATGTACGCAGAGGTACGTATTTTTATGAGACTGGGTTGAATTGTATTTATTTATTTGATGTAATTCTGCAGAATGGAAATGTGAGTTCATTTGATTTAAAAAAGGTTTGTTCCAGTTAGTAGAGCTGGGAAAATGTGTATCTAAGCCGGTTGTCAGTAGCAGGGAGAGAGCGCTAGTGAACGGATTGTGTTTGGAGTGGAAAGACATGAAGTTACTGCCAGTGAAGGCTAAAACTGTCACTTTTAAATCGACTTTCTACAAAGTCAGACAGCGTTCCATATCGTTTTGAATGATTAGGGATCATTTTAAAAGTTTGCACGTAATTTGGGCTACTTATCGAACTGACTCAGTTTAACTACAGTAAGCCTGAACAATTAGTTTTAAAGCCATCTCATTTCCTGGAACACGTCCAATAATTGTAAATTCTTCCTCTGTGTTATGATGAGCCTTATTATAGATTACTGCTGTAATCCTTTGAGGATTATGAGTATATGCTTCATTATGATTCAGCTCTCTGCTGGAAAAACCCACTTTACCTGTCATTGCCTGTGAAAGGTCATTTGGCCTATTATTATTATTATAAGACATTAATCAGGATTATTTGTGATTAATCATAAAGATTAAATACCCATTGAATAGTATTCAAGTAATCAATTCATAGTAATCAAGTATTGATCAATTCTAATACGGATGCTCCAACTAAATTGATTTTTTTTTGTTAAATTTCTGAGGATCAAATAAGTAATTATAGCCATTCAGCATTTTGGAAACCATCATTTTAATATTTAATAGGTATAAAGTGCAAATTATTAGCCTAGCGGATGAATCTAATGTTCTGAAGAGTATGTGTGGCAGTCAGTCATGAATTTCACATTAAGAAATTCTTTTAATCCAAAATGCAAATTATGCTCCCTTCGAACTGGTTTTCTTTAAAATACAAATCTTGTGTAATCCCAGGCTATCTGTAATCAGAAGCACATTTATAACTGGAATATAATTTAATTTCATTCACATGCGTTTCATAAACACATAATCCTTTCTGGATTACAATCCGCCATCAAAATGATCAATTTAATTATTCCAGCTGCTGTGAGAAAAGGCTATAAACGATCCTCCACCTGCAGGATCCTCACAAATATTGATTTCGGATCATTTTTAACCAAAACAAGTTACAGACTGCAGCTTTAAAAAAAGTTTACAAATGTCACAAACTCCCAAAAATGTCACATTTAGCTTTTGTTTTTGCCTTTTATTTGGAGAAAATAACTCTAGGTTGTGTCTCTGTCTGTCAAAACAAAGCTTATTTTATGTATTGATTTTAATGCTAATTAAGATCTGTAGTTTAAAACTCTTAGTATTAATATTTTTATGTGAGCATTAGGGTTGCAAAGGCATGGCAAATATCCGGTAAATTTCCGGAAACTTTCCAAAAATTCCTGGAATATTCAAAAAAAATCCTGGAAAGTTTCCAAAATTTCTGGAATGTTTCCCGAAATATACTGGACATTTTCCACCTTTTTGCAACCCTAGTGAGCATTGATCGACTCAGTACGACGTCATTATTGAAGATGTCATAATTTCAGGGCAGTACACTAAAAAAAACTGTATAACAACAATTTTCACTCAGAAATTACTGTTTAATTTTACTCATTAAAAAAAAACCGGAAGAAACTCTCAAAATTTTGAATTTAAATTAGATTTTTTTTTTTGTAAAACGCACTTCAATAACCTTTATTGAAACTTTGAAAATCTTTTTTTTTCAGTGTAATCCTTTGTCCATGGAAGCAGAGATTTGTTTCAGATGATTTGTGGC